GCCTAGCCACACAGCAGTTTTTCCAGGCACCGTACTCTCGAGCATGATAGAGAGCGCTTCATCTCCCGAAGTGATGGTTTTGCATAGTTATTTATAGGGCTCTTGGAAAGGAAAATCATTGGAGCACAGGAAATATACCGCGTCGAGCCTTGAATCAACGCAAAGTATGGGATGCGTAAACTTCTCAGACTGATTGAATTATAACACGCCGTCGCCCCAGGATAAGATCGGCGCTGTTTCCTTTCAAATTCCCTGCCAGTTGACTATTCCCCTCTTTTCCAATATTTCCAGGTTGTTTGTTAGGAATCATTTTGTGTAGTAGCTGATTATTGACTGATTGTTTGCAACTATGTGTTCTGAAGTTAAGGTCTGGAAAAGGCATTTTATGTCGAAAGCTAGTTCCGAAAATTCACATAAAGAGAACAAGTTTAAGTAAAGCTCATATGCAGCAGCATTTTCAGATAAGAGTTAATAAATAGCTAAATAACAGTTAAGGAATAGTTCAGGTACAAGGAGTCTTGATTTCCATTGACTTCATTTTTTTCGTTCGGAATTTAAGTTTACTGCATTTCAAGGGTGATACCGACAAAACAATTAACCACTGACCAACGACTCAAATTATCGCTATATGTAGTTATTACTATCAGCTGCATTTTTCCCTTGAGTAACAACAAACAGTTACTTCAGAACGGCCACGTATCTCATGCGGCATCTATCCCGTCTGTGCAATTATACTTCACTTACCGACATGACGGCAAAGAACCTAGCTATTGTATGGGCGCCCAATTTATTCAGGTGCTCTTTGTTAGTCATGCATCTGCTTTCATTCGTCTATTATTTGCAACATGCAATACAGAGCACCTCCACTTCTCCATGGCGACGATTTGCATATACTCAGTGGGCTGGATGTGCACACATCGCTGTGCACGTATCTTATCACAAATTCCTCTGACATCTTCGTCGACGGACTCCTGGACGTCACACGCAATTCAAGTACACCATATTCATTTTTACACTCAAAAAAACAAGGAACCGGTGCAAGGCGCATTGTGACAGCTTAGACCTATGTTTTGACTTTCAAAAATGCATGAAGATGCCAAACTGTCAAGCTTATTTTGGGGAACTTAAAGATAGCATTTCTGCGCGAAGAATGATCAGCTCAACTTAGTTTATACAAAATCACAACTAGTTCCTTTCCAGGTTGTTCTGTTGGCTGGGCGTGTGGCGGAATGGTTTTTTCGGAATAATTTACGTTAGAGAAGCTTGAAAAGTGTGCATGATTGTAAGAACGGCACCCAGTTCGAGAGCTTCATCAAGGGCCATGATGACAACCCATCTTGCTCCTAAACAGACACCAGTTAACGTGAACCTTATGCCGAGGAAGAACAAAAAACCAAATTAATTTGAAACGAAAAAAAAGACGTTAGGCCTTGGTTGACAAGTGTAGGCTGGGCTGCTAGTGTGGCGGTGAATGTGCTGGTTGAAGAGTGTCGATGTGTGCACCTGGGCTGATGGCCACAAGCGATATGCTTGGAGGAGGATGGTGGAACCATGTCTCCTCACTGCTTTCATGACAGGAGGGTCATGGCGGTCAACCTCGTACCTATCCGCTTCATAAGTTGCTAGACTCGTCCTGTTCATTCGTTCTCGCTCTCATCCGAACCTGTTTCTCTGCAATAGTGGCAAGCTTAATTTCGTTTGCTACTCAAAACTATTGTGTCATATCGTGAAGCAGAAATACTGCTGCAGTCAAGTTTGACTTCTCAATAGTCTTACATTCTGAACTACATCTATAAGGTCAAAAATTACTGCGACGTCCATCAAGTTATCAGGGATGTTTCTAGTTAGCTAAGAGCATCTGCAGCATATTCTCAAACTTCCCCTTGTTTTCGGGCTTAGCCGTTCGGATAAATCCATGATGAGCCCTTCCGTGCTGCCTATATTCACGTCACTTTCGCTCGTCGCCCTTCTTTTTCTCCCTTTCCCTGTTTACTAGCACTGAGTCGTTGTCCTCGATGACTGCTTTAGCTCGGAGAATTGGGACCTGTTCACCTTCTTGCTGATCACAAAATCATACGGTATCACTGCCTAAGCGTTATTGCTGTCACAATTCAGTTGTCACTGGTTTCTGAGAGGTCACAATATGTTTGCCTCCTTACAAAGGGTCAAGACAACCATGAAGATCTAGCTCAAAATATCCTGTCAGTCTAGCTTCCGAGCGGAGACACAATCATTCCTGTTCAGATGTTTCAAACGTTGACTTGGCTTCTGTCAATAAGTTCGATATCCGATGCACCCAATTCAGTATTGAGCTCTTCTTCAAACCCACCTTTTTTCAACATCAGAGCTGATATCGGAGCTTGAATCACGCAGATCATTGTGTTCCTTTCTTGGTCGCTTTGAGCTCGTCCGTGGTCTAGTTTGAGCTACTCGAGAACATTTCCTCGAAAATTGATCATGCAGTTGTTTTGTGTGACATTGTACTTCGCAGAGGAATGGGGTGGTGCGGTTGATTTTCCATGGTTTAGGGTGGATTGACTTTTCCAGCTCCGGAATGTCTTGAGTACTCACCCATCCAAGAAAACGACACGATTTTGAGAAGCCCGATATGTAAAGCGTTCAGCCCAGTCCTTATAATTAATAAAACTCTATATTCACCGCTCATGTCTGAATAGCTTTTTCCCAGCTTTTCAGAGAGTCTCTGGGAGCCATATGTAGTTCAGGGTCAGTGGACCGCAATGTCGCACCACAAAAATCACCTCCGTACTTTTTACGTCTCACGTTTTCTACTTCGTTTTTTCTTTTATGGTCTCTGGAGAGTATAATCACTAATTCGCACTTGATTTTCCAAAGAGCTATTCTCAGGATATAAGATTGTATTCGCATTGAGTCGCTGTTTTGTAGCATCGTGATCCTTAGATGCAAGCTTCACAGGCATCCTACACAGGTAATGGTTTTGCACATTGGCTCGCTGAATCGGTATGCGTTTGTTGCACTCCCTGCCAAGCAAAGGACTTAAGACGTCGCCCACCTACTAGAACATCTCCCACGAACTTTTTCCAAACATATTAGGAGTTCCTCACCTATCCCTCACATGACAATTATATTCCTTCTTGCTTTATAGTAACCAGAAGATTTTTTCACAGATTACCAACTCACACCTGGGCAAGAAAGAGTGGATCTGTACTGTGAAGTTTAGAATATAGATTTTACCTGTTCCCATGTTACACAACATTATATCCAAAACGACAGTTGGTTTCCCATTCATGGGTGACACCGTGCGTGAAATAGCTGGAATGACTAATTTTCGTTACACATCTAATATCACGTTTTCTCTCACGGGATACCCTCTGGTCGTCACGTATCCGCTTAATCTTGCTAAGGCAGCATCGGATCTGGTCAAAGTAGCCATTTTAAATGAGACTTATTTTGTGCTATACGTATTTTCATTTTTCTCCTGATTTCGAATCTGCGATGCAAATTCGCTATCCGAATCTTAGAAAGCAGCTAAAAGTCACTATCAGGTGAGTGCTCAACACAAACGAACACACAATACAGCTACGTTGGCGACGGCGGATTGTAGCAGCGGTGAGCATGACGCTTCGTAAGCATGGGGCCGTGGTTAAATTCCGTGACGGACGCATTTTTTTGCATTTCACGGAGCATTTCTTCAAGTGAAAGCGTACCTTTGTATTTTGTTCCCTTGAGCGACCTTTTTGGTGCTGAATGTGACTCGGTTCCTACCTAAACCATGCAGCACTACCAAATCATCTTTGCTATTCCACACACGTAACTTATACACTGAGATCTTTCGAGAAAGTACTTACTCCCCGACCTTGAGCCTCAAGAAGTTCGAAGTGAATAGAAGTGGTTGTGCAATCAGTCTCTGCTACCGCTCACTCTTTCACAGCCATAAACTCCCTTCGAGCTGATGACCACATATGCTGAAAGCTGCTCGTGATGATCCACCTTTGCTGTTTGGATACTCTGTAGAGATCTGCAGAATATAACCGTAACGCTTAAGCTCTGATAGTAAACCAGATTTCCGAAAGAAGGATTCTCTCGTTAGAGGCACCTGAAGGTCGTAATGAATACAACGCAAATGATGAGCAAGCAGTTGATGTTAGAGAGTGATTATGCAGAACAGTCCCCAAAATCACCAACATCTATGTGGCAGTAGACTCTTGAACGTGTACCAAAGATAATGGAGCTTTCCAGTCTGCACTACTTCCTCTATTTGAGGTGACAAAAATTTGATCTTGTCTATACGAGGCTGATGCATGATCCTAAATTCAAAAGATTTCCCTCAATCATGGCATGCTGCTCGCTTCTTGAGCTCTCATCCTGGCTGGTGGTTGAAACCCAACCCACTTCTGTTTCCTTCCGATCTATAATAGTAGTTGATGGTGAAGTAGCAGCCTGCAGCGGAATTTTTTTTTCATTTGCGGTTCCCGTTGTGGTTACCTTCTTCTTGCACTTGCTTGAAGGGGATTATAGTTATTCCCCTGTGAGTGTAAAGTGAATGAGAAAAGCAAAGAAGGTGTGGTCATATTGGATGGTTTGTATAAGAACCAAATCATCTTGAGCGCCAAAACGGCCGCTGAAGGCGCTAAAACCGACATGCGAGGTCATCTAGTTCTTGAAAAAGAAGCCACGCGAAATGCAAAAAAGAAAAATTAGTCTTTCACATAATCCTATCCATGATCTTATGCCTATGGAGCATCACGCCTACCGCCGTTTCAAGGCACTGCTGTGAGGGTAGCCACGCCCACATTTGTGCTTGTTTATTTTGGAACCTCACCCAAAATTTTTCTGTTCCTTTAGGGACCTGTTCAGCAAATTTGAAAGCAGATTCGAGTCGAAAGCACATCTCAAAATAAGTCTGGCAATGTGAGTCGTACTCGAAATAGCTCTCCTAAGTCGAGATGACGAATTCGCTACTGTTGTGTGAGAAAACCTTTTTTGCTGCACATGATCTCTGTGAGCATTCTGTAAAACTTCTGGTAACTAAGCTTTCTCGATCAATATGTCTACCATTTTCCGTTCCCCTTCGGACTAAAATAGCCTGAGAATTGTGTTGATCATTGTGATGCTCGTGAAACGCCTCGCTGAATGTGTAAGGTTTAAAACGGGAATATTGTCCTTCCTTCTTTTACCGATGTAACAATGCAACCTTCTCGGGAGTTGTCTCTCAACGTTAGTAACTGTACTAATTTCGATTTACCAGATACGGAGCTCTCTACATTCCAATTACCGACGTTATCGATCCTGGGTACTCCTCTACTAAATACATCTGCGACAACGGTTGCTTCACTGGTTCTGAACATTCCATGACCAACTCTCTTGGCATGGTCTAAGTAATTCTGTTGTGTTTTGGCTTAGCCTCCGAGATTCATAACAGCCTAATTCACAACTAATATTCGGCTGAATCGTCGTCCTCAAACTCTCTAGAGCGAATGTGTGCTCGTAATTTACAAGGTTACGCTTTCAAGTTGAAAAAAATATTCTGAGGCCTATGAAACAAGAACGATAACGCCGACCTGTGTAGGGGTGGGGCTGTTTTTCGACACAATGAGCCCAAAGTTTCTCAGTTTATTTAAGTAGGTGTTGGAAGCCACCTACAAGTCGAGTTGAACAGAACTCCGAGGAATGTTTCAGAGAGAAAACAAATAATGAAACAGGGTGTGGCCGGAATTTGCCCCGCCGGCAAATTTGCCAAAAGGTGAGATCGACGGATTAAATGACTGTGGTTTCCTAAAAGTCAGGTCTGTGCTGACCTAACCTTCTGGAGACCACGCATCCCTTGGTATTGTTTTTCGAAAAGTTTGGGAATTCGAAACATCAGCTCTTCCTTGGCGGGGAAGGGGATCGCGGCTATCGATTGTATAGATAAAAGCCACACAAGTCTGCGATTGGGGCGAGCCTCCTACTGCCCGTCACGCATTTGTCCTTCCCTTTTATTTTTGGCTCTGCCGCCATCCATAGCGCCTCCG